CGCCTTGTATGCCCATCTGTCGGCGTGTCTGTCTATTTGTCTGTCTATCTATCTTTTCACCCATCCGTCCATCCGTCCATCTGTCCATCCGTCCATCCGTCCATCCATCCGTCCATCCGTCCATCCCTCCATCCATCCATCCGTTCATCTATCCACCTTTCTATCTACCTATCTGTCTATCTATCTACCTATCTAACTATCTATCTGTCTACCTACCTATCTATCTACCGATCTATCTATCTATCTGTCTGTCTATTAATGTATTCATTGATTTATATATCTGTTGACTATCTATTCATTCATCCATCCATCTAGTTAGCTATCTATCTATCGATCTTTCTTACTATCTGCCTACCTACCTATTTGTCTAACTATCTATTTATCCATCTATCTATCTATCTATCTGTCTATCTATCTATCTATCTATCTATCTATCCATCGATCTATCTTTCTATCAACCTATCTATCGATTCCTCTAGCTACAGTATCTGTGTATATGCGTCTGTCTGTTTCTCTATCTATTTATTCATGCATCCATTCATTCACCCTTCCGTCTATACGGCCGATCCATGTATGTATATATATATATATATCTCTCTCCGTCTGTGTATCTATCCATCTAGGGTGTCTGTTGGGGAGTACAACAATTAGGGCCAATAGGGATCCACTCATTGGGTGTCCTTAAGGACGACGAGGCTATGCTAAAGGCTTTACATGTGGCACCCTGCAGTCGGAAGTGTCTGTTGAGATGCACGTTCCATCTGCCGTTCTGTCAGATGATCCTCGAAACCTTCTTCATATGTATGTATGTATGTATGTATGTATGTATGTATGTATGTATGTATGTACGTAGGTATGTATGTATGTATGTATGTATGTATGTATGTATGTATGTATGTCTGTATGTGTTCACGTTAATGTTTATGTATATTTACAGTTACATACGTTCATATATATATATATACACATATTTGTGGCAGTCCCTTTGCTTGCCTGTGTTCACACCTAGTCGAATCCCCCGGGGTGTGAACCTAAACCCCTAAACCCCTAAACCCTAAAACCCTGAACCTAAACCCTAAGCCCCTAAACCCTAAAACCCTAAGCCCCTAAACCCTAAGCCCCTAAACCCTAAAACCCTAAGCCCCTACACCCTAAAACCCTAAACCCAAAGCCCCTAAACCCTGAACCCTAAACTCGAGCGAGGCCCTGTTTAGCTGGCGGCCAGCCAGCGGGCCGAAGCGAGCCCGCCGAGCCTTTGGCGACGG